TCTAATTTAAAACGAACTCATTCGAGCCAATGCGATGACTGCCTATGTTCGCCAATCAATGACATCCCCGCGTATTTCGGACGGGAAAAAAATACTCACTAGCGGTACTGCAATGTAGAACTTGTGTTGGCTCACTGTAGATTCACAACTAAGGTCGTGCCACAATTGCAAACAAATGGCTGAGGCTTGCCTGTATAGACTCGCCAGGCGAAGAAACTAACCGCTCAATGAGGAAGCGTCTATCACAGAAATTTGAACCTCAAACTCACCACTGAACAACGAAGGTCATAATCGACTGGCGGGTATTCTTAGATCAATACGCATCAGACACAGTCCGGCAAAAGTCGCATACCGTGAGTGCCACCGTGGCCTGCGATTGAAAAATTTATGTTGAGCGCGTCAGAGTGGCGTCTATGCCAAATCCACTCACCGCGACTGGCCTGGATAGACATCAGATAAGTGCCAGGAATGACGAATAGAGGCTTACTTACCATCGAATCCTCTCATTAGCATTGTCATCCCCAAATTCAGCTATTAGGTAGTCCCAATCCGCAACACAAATGAAAATAGTGTGTAGAAAGTCTAGAAACCTAGATGAAAGTTAGCGCGTCTGCACAGTCTTGGAAGCATCTACGGACCATGCCAGTGATACCTATCCAATGAGTGCCAAGTCAACTCAAGTGATGTGAAGGATAATAACTATCGAATTGCTCACCAAGACCTTTAGTCTCAATGCGTCCCGGTGGTATACGGCAGCATAGAGAACGGTTTGCATTGTCACCACTCCAGAAAGGCTACGTCAGTCAGGTAAGCCCATCGCACGTATCGAATTGCGGCACTGTAAGACTCACAAGATGGACACGAGGCTCCCCACCAGTAATGCACCCAATGTGGGGTCGATTATGGACATTACTGCCGTCATAGTGTACAAATAGTCGGAATAGGGGTGAAAGGCTCGGCGTGCGATGAAGGTCTTGTGCCATTCTAGATATACCAACAGGGGATAGCGTTAGCGCCTGCCAATCGTAACCGGGCTCCTCATGCCCCAGAACCTTGACCGATTGGAACGCGGCGGGGTAGGGGATACCAAACAAGCGCTAGAAGCGCCTCGGGATCGGGTCCGCCAAAAAAAGGCCTAGCCAAGCAAATAGTGCCTCGCTACAGGAACGTCCAAACAGATTTAGACCGGCATTGCGATCGAGCACTGACAGCAAATGTGATCTGACCTTCTACTGCCCATTCAGCTGAAGACCACAAGATCTCCTCCAATCTCCGAGCATCCCTATGGCACTGAAGAGCGGCTCGGCTGGTGAACCTGCTCCCCAAGACAATGTTTGGTTAATGTGGCTGAGAAGACTCGCGCAGCAGTGCAAATATGGAGAAGGCCGGCGATGCTTGAATTATCGCCACAAATCGCGCGACTTTGCTATTCCGTATACTCGGAAAGTTGATCAGTCCCAGCTACATTGACAAGGGGCTCATCAGATTCAAGAAATGGGATGAAGAGTCAAAGATACGCCACCAGGACGCCAAAGCTGGGGGGTGAGCGCTCAGTGCGCGCCGGTCGTCGGCGTTAATTGATGAAATTCCCTTCCGTCATCTGTACGGACGACATACATAGAAATCGCCTCACTAGAATGGCACAGATCTGTGCTGAAGATGACCCTTAATCAAATAGGATGTAGGCGATAGGGTGATGCTGTGAGAGGCCATCTTGGATATGCGCAGGTCCCCGCCGCGGAAGTATCAAGTTCGATCGAAGCGGTGGAAGGTGAGACTAGCATGAACGCTGACTGTGACCGCTAAGCTCAGTATCGTTCTTGATATAGTGGTCATTGGTGACATTAATATGGCATCATATAGTTATTCAGAATGAATACGTGAAGTTCGCTGGTCACAATGCATAAGGACAGCCAGGCAATATCACTGTGCTACTTACCTTAATCTAGGTGTGCTATTGCTGTTGTCAGTTGCGATGTCGACCTTCGCAAGACCCATATGGGCAGCTGCAACCCCGCTAACCCCAACCATCGGAAGATATCACCTGGTATGAATTTGAATGATCAGACATTCGCCGCCCGCTTAAAAACCGCATGGACGGCCTAGCCAATAGTTGCTCAAGCTATCCAGGAGCTGGATGCGGTACGCCATCCAATGCTGTCTGAAGTCGTACATTGGCTGTGAACTACGACTTTCTTCCAGACCACATTGGCTGATGCGCACGCCTTGATGTGTCGATTTTTCAACAGCGGCGCATCGTCAATTGTTGAGATCTATCAGCGGACGACAAGCGGAGCGCCAGAAAAGGGGGCAAATAACCTCAGCACGTAGGTTCTGTTATCGGCGGAGACCGCTGTAAAATAAGTTGAGACGAGGGCACGAGATCAACAGCGCCCCATGTTTACGTTAGTCACTCCAGATGTCCTCGGGATATCCCTAAGGAAAGCTCGAGGGCACCACATTCATCGCAACAGATACCATGATGTAAACACTCATAACCTTTGTATATAACAATGTCTCGCCTTATCCGATAGGGTTCAATTATCCCTTGGACGGACTAGGATCAAGATGTAAGTATACTTCTGCGCGCACCTGCCACATTCGTTGTTCTTATATGTGGATTATCAGCCCTCCATCATCTCCTCCGGTGGGGGACCTCCCCCTTCTCGGTCTCTGTCCTTGCGTGTTGCCTGCACGACATCGTCAACGCGCAGAAGGACTCGTGCAGCCTCGACGGCTGTTTTGAGAGTTTGGATCTGCAAGTAAGCTGAGTGGCCGTATTCCTTATTATGTGTACAGGATATGGCACCTTGACACTGGCAGATTCATAGAGCCCATATGACTTCATGTCGACGATCTTGCCAGTCTCTCCATCTATCCCCCACGAACTTTCACCACTGGCATGCTTGGCCTATACGTCAAGGTAATTATCAGAAGGATGCAACTGAACAATCACGTCGAAAGGAATGCACCCGCAATTCAGTCAAGACCCGGATTGCATTGCCTCCACTGTTCTGTACTAGCGTGCGGGGAATGACTTCCATTGCATCGGCAACTGCTCGGAATGGCCAGCCCTCAACGCCCGTGATACTACGTGCCTTAGCATGAAGGCCCACGCTGATTGCCATCTCTGTTGCCCCACCTCCCGGCGCCAGTATTGGGTTGAAGACGACGTTGCGTGCCACTGCCATGGCATCTGCCAGGTTGCGATCGATTTCATTTAGGATGTCCTTGGATGGACCACGGAGGAGGATTGTGCATGCTTTTGGGGTCGTGCATTCAGTGAGGAATGTGAAGTATCTGCCAAAACGGTGTCACGGGGATCGATTATCGAAGCGGAAGAAACTCACTCGTCGCCCATCTTGTCTATATTGAATAGGCCGCACTTGGTTCCCACATCAGATTCTCGAAGGTCTTCTACCCGGTTAACGATAGTTGCTCCTACTGCACGTGCGATACGGTTGTTGTCCGACTTGCGCACACGACGGATGGCTGACACATTTGCCTTACAGAGGAAATGCTGCGCGTAATCTGTATAAATAGAGTTTAACAAGACAAGTAAATGATCAATTAAATCTGTCATACCAGAGACACCTTTCTCCGTGATCACGAGGTCGGGCTTGAACTCAAGTATGCGGTCTACCATGGCCTTGACCTGCTCTTCCTCGATTTCCTGTATCCTCGACCAGTCCGCCTCCTTGGAGATCTCGATATTCGTCTGCGACTCTCCCTTCTTGTATTCAAGAGGACAATCGAGGAGAATGATTCGTGGGTTGGCGATTCTTCGACGCATCTTTGGATGTGTGATGTCCTTGTTCAACATAATTCCACTGAGCACCTTGCTCTGTTCGATCTCCCCGCCGGGAACCTTCTCTACACGTGCGTATCGTTTGATATCCACCGTCTTCAGTGAACCCTCCTCTTGCGCAACGGTACGGACAGCTTGTAACGCGAGACTGCACATGAGGTCAGACCAACGCATTACGAACTTCGTTCCTATTGAGGTCTTGATCAGGGAAAGCATTTGTGCGTCATCGTTGGTGTTGATGGGGACAGATATACGTTTGATGATTTCCAATGCCTCTTTAAGGGCCTTGTTATATGCGGAAATGATCACGACAGGATGTATATCGCGTTCGAGCTGAGCAAGGGATTGGGCGAGAATCTCCCCCGCTTTACGGTAATCAGAAAAAAATTAGAGGAGATCAGAGGATGTCAAGCATACCGAGAATAATTACACTTGTCGTCCCGTCACCGCATTCCTCATCCTGCGTCCTGCTCAACTCGATCATATTTTTGGCTGCAGGATGTGCAACGTCAATTTCTCGCAGGATGGCATTACCATCGTTCGTCAACCTATTAAGAGCATGCAGATTGAGATAATACAACGAAAGCGCATACCAAAAGCTACACTTACAGAATGCCACCCATCGGGTCCAAAATCATCTTCAACATTGCCTTTGGCCCAAGGCATGTTCTTATAACATCTGCTACTGTCTAGTCATCCTTGAGCTATATTCTATTGTAGGACGAACGCGAATGCCCACCTTAGCGGCCGTAATATTGGAGATCTGAGCTTTTCGTCCGGACTGCCTCTCCGGAGCCGTGTCTGTAATCGTGATCAATTGCGTCAAAGATGACCTTCACTGAGCGACATACTCATAATGAACACTGGTGTCTGACCCCCCGCCTGCATTTTGGAAAGATATGCAAAGGAATTAGAACGTAACAAGAACGTAACGACTGAGAAACGACGCGAAGCTTTGCAGACGTGAAGCTTCCCTTTTTCAGGCTATATCTGTTACGTAATCGATATGTGCTTCGATTCAAGTTGTACTTAGTGAGCTTAAGTACTGGGACGCGCAAGCTTGTATACAAGCAGCGATCAAGTTGGTTTAGCGGCATTGATTATAACTAACATCGCCACACCAATGAACGGCACACACCCTACGGTTACTATCGACCTAGTGAGCTGCATGAAATATCAGTCCGCTAATCCTTTCACCCTGATTCATGGGCAGCTAGGTCCTTGACCGGCACTCGACGAAGGAAGTGCTGCGTGCGGTGCTGCATTCAATCCTATTTCATCGTCTATTCGGAACTGTGAAAGCGCAGACGTTTGAAGTGCTTGACGTGACTATGGTCCGCTAGATTTTGATACTGCGCCGTGGGCGATGCTGACAGTTTACAGCCTGGTGTGGATGATGTCGAGATGAAACAACTTGTCGATGAGAAGGTGGATGCATTTTGGAAGGGCGTCGAAGGCGGTAACAAGCGTGGCCAGGCATGTCGGTTTCATACACAGCCTTACTGCAGCTCATCCATACTCCTAGATTCTGGTCACTTTCTCCGAAAAACGTCCAAGGAAGAGCTGGTTCTATATGGCCGAGGTTCGTATGTTGCCCTGCGGTGTGGTCTTAGTCTAACTTGCTCCTCTTGTTTCAGGAAGAGGTTCCATGGGAGCAATGGTGAGTAACATTTGTCCGAGTAATTCTCCATATCTATCAAACAAGTGCCGCACAGGATTCTAAACGCTGAAATCAGACAACCCACCGCAGACAAAGGCATGTCTTTCGGTAGTCATGCAGCCACACGCCTATGAGCTAACTGACTATGTCTGGGGTAGATCTGACCCTCATGTTGACGAAGAGCTTGAAGACTATGCTCACGTATGCATCATCTGAGCGTGGTCGCTCTGCGGTCCCGCTCATCACCAAAGCAGACGGCATCTCGCCTTTCCCAATCAAGATAGCCGTCAAGGTTGGTGGCATAGAAGTGGGATGACATGGCCCTGGACGCCTTCTTGCGGGACTGTCCCCTTCCGCGCTCAGTAGCGGGAGACAATCGGCACGGGCTGGTTCGCATTTTTGCCCGTCTCGACTGTGTCTCCCGCTACTGCATTTACACCACCGCTACCTATGGATAAACTCACGCTGTTAGACTGTTGCAAGATTATTGTACAGTACTGCTGTATTCCCATGTCGTCTTTGCATCGCGGGTGCAATATTGCACACGTTCTTCCCGTTGGCCAATGATGCCGCCAGCGGCTGGGTCGCAGCCACCTGGCGCTTGTTTGAGTGGGGGCGAACAGCGACACTGCCACGAACGTGCTAGGAACGGGTCAGATGCAATCGAACCTAAAACCACCATCCATGCTCTTCTCGACGGGGCTTTAGGCAACAGATTACGGAGCTATGGGCTACGAACGGGGAGAACAAGATTCTGTCTTTCAGCCATAGTATGCCCGTCCTCGTTCAGAGTTTGTTCTGCCAAGGGCTGTTCCTCCCTGATTGACCCGTTGCGCACCCTCTTCAGTGGTATATCTTTCAGCGTCCTGTCTTAACAGTTCTCTCTAGTCCTTTCTCAAGTCCCTCCAAGACAATGTATTCTCCAACTTCAAATACCTTCGCACACGCAATTGATCGCGTTTCAGATGGCGAAGGGGAACCTCGTCATGGGCATACCTCATTGAGCTCGGGTATGTCCACCTCGAGTACGCTAATACCCCCATCTCCGTCGTCCAAAAGCGCATACGGCCGGACGCTGAACGACGCATATGCACGATGGAAAGTTGCAGACGAAGCGGTACAGAGCTTGGCTGAGGAAGAACGTGTATTGGATGAGTGCACCCGAGAACTGGCTACAGCGCGTAAAATGGCGACGAATCTGCGCACACATTTGTGAGTAGTTCCGTCCAGTTTCCGGATGTAATTTCCGCGCAGATGTCTGTTACTTAATAGAGCCGAATGGGACATAGATCCGCTGGCGTAGCAGTGAAGAGGAAGAAATCAATCTCACGACTGTTGATCAGGAGTCCAAGTACACCACATTTGCCCTTGCAGGCCGTCCCGCTGGGTTCGACGACGGACCTCGTGGAGACCGCCGTCCAGGTACACGAGTTGGAGAGACGTCTTCATCGACTCACGAAGCAGGTAAATCATCAGTCTTCTACTGCTTATCAATCTTCCTACGATCATTAAACTGATTTTTATGTCAGGTTGAGGATTTGAAGCTTATCGCCGGAGCGCTTGACGAAAACTACGATGTGCTCAGGCAGATACTGGACACTGGCCCCCTCCCGTCCTGGCACCTCATCCAGTTCGTGATCTCGCCGGTTTTATATATAACTGAAATGTCTAATATGCATTTGCAGAGGGAACGAAGAAGCCATAGAGCGCGCAGAAAAGACCGTAGCAGCGCGCGAGGCAGTATACAACGATGTGCGTCGTTCCTCTTTTTTTTTTGTTACCGCATTGCTGAGACTGTCATGATGTAGAGTGTTGTGACGACAGATGCGTTTGTACGCGCACGCCGGTGCATACAATCAGCGCATCATCATTATTCCCAAGCAATGGATCTCGTGGATAGCATCTGCAGCCCAACGCGGGGAATTTTTGCAGCCATGATGGGGGACGAGCAGAGTAAGGAGCAGACTTACCGAGGTAGTTCAGCTCACCCGTGGAGGAATTTTAGCTGATAATGTTTGTTAGAGGCCGGAAATTGGGCAAAGAAAGCCCAATTTTGCTTTCAGGAAAGCCTGAGCGTGCTTGAGCCGCATCAAGATGTCCTTGAGACCGTGCGCTCAGATGATCGTGAGCAGCTTGTGCAGGCAGGGCTCTTACAGGCTGTCAGATTATACGAGCTCATGTATGGGGGGAAGGCGCTGAGCTTTGGGATCACCCGTGAGTGGCCTGTGGGGTTGGGCAAATTACAGTACTGATAATTGTGTTCTGCGGTATCTCGGGTATCAGAGCAAGTGCAAGTGATGGTGCAGAAGCAGCTTGCCATCTTCGAGCGCCTCACGCAGTTTGCCGTAGGGATTCAGGACTGCACGATCAACTGCGAGAGCGTGCAGCAAGATGCAAAGGCTCAGAGAGACACGGCGAGACGACAACTTGTCTCGTTGTGGATGAAGGGAGCGCATGGTTCGGCTGTTGGTTCTGATCGTCATTATTCTGGCTCTGGATAGGATTTGTCCTGTGCTATCGACCCTCATTCGTTGTCTGGGTTTGTCGCGCATTTATGTATGACCAATGTGAAAGTATCGTTATGTAGCTCACTCCTCGTTGTAAACCGTATAGCTAGACCCTGTATACCAGCCGTATCTAGAATTGGTCGCGTGCACGTAGCTGAGATTCGGTATTGTAATTTGATACATATTCGATTCAAGATCGTCTTGAGGTCTATAGATTACATGTTCCCTGTGTATGTCCGTTTGTATAACGCCGCGTATGAGGTTGAACTTATATAGGGTCATCATTTAAGTGTACGAACGTAAAATCATAGCCATAGCTCTCGGCTGAAGCGACAATACCGATGGCAGGATGCATCACGAACCAATGAGTCTCGACGGTAGATTCGCGGAATACGGAACTGCCGTGTCAGTGAATGATATGTAAGATATGTAAACATGGCCTCCGACTAGAATTGTTCAATGCATAGACCCTTCCGATTCAGACTTGAGGGATGCAACATAGTGCTGGCGCTTCTCCAAGTCTGAACAACCGTGCTTTAGCGTAATGGTTTCAGTGTTTGCGGTTACTGAGTGACGTACCAACTGCCCACATAGCAGCGCCAATCCGGTTCGAAACAGAAAAGACGAGGCCAAGTAGTGGGATGCGTTCAAGCAGCGCCGCAAAAAAACCAAATGCTAATACGTCAGGATGAGCAAAATCAGCCGGGTTTAGGAGAATGCACAAGATACGTATCAAGAAGGCGAGTACGCACATCTATAATCCCACTTACGCTCCTCCATAAAAATAGATGTCTGCTCTTTAGACATCCCCTTTGCCTGAAAGTACTATAATTTATGATTAGCCACCGATATGGCGCACATCTTCAGCCTCATATGCTTCATACTCACCGGCTTGTGGAGATATCTTGCCGTGCCCAAGGCACGGAGGTAGGCTGAGATCATCAAACCGACCAACGGTACCGTTTCAACAGGCATGAGCAGAACTGGAAAACCATTATGCACATGTCAGCAGGTAAAAGGTCAAGTACAACTCACACTTGAAAACAGCCCTCCCAATAAATCCGCTAGCAAGATGACCCAGCCCCCATTCGCCGCTAACCTTCGGAGGGATATCCCACTCCTCCACATATGGACGCCAGAAATCATTACCCTTCCCGCGTGACTGAATGGTCTGGGCGTAGGCACGTTCGCGAGCTATGCGCAAACCATGTGATACGAAGAATGTTACAATTGCTGAGACTTGGCTCGTTATGAAGAAGAGGGCGGCGTCTGTAATCGTATATAATTAGTCGCCACATTGGAGCTCAAGATAGTTGCAACGCATACATGTAGGCAAGTCAAACGGCATATGAAATCCGAAGACAGTCTCTTTGGAGAGTCCGATTACTCGAGGGGAGCTGGAAAAGACCCATCTTAGCACGGCATTCCATGTTAGCCACGTACGGTGCGAAGTAGCACGAACTTTATGAGGAATATCTCCACAAAATATCTCTGTATCTTGAAAGTTGTAAATGTCTACAATTCCACACCGAGTTGTGAAAACCCTTAGAGGCTCGAGTCGTAGACATGAACGCACCCATGCAAGGCCAACGCCCAAACCCCTAATGACGCCATGCTCGCATTTCTTCCATGCCGGAATGGATAGACTTTTATCAGTTATGAGTCTATATACTCCTACTACGACATAGGTTGGCGGGAACTGCAAGCGAGTAGTAGCCCGACGAAGGTGGTCGGGAACGTTGTGAGTGTATGGCACTGGAATGATTGTGCCGAAGTCGCCAGGGACTGTGGGAGTCGTAGACATGGCTTTAGCTTCGGTCAGATTACTGAAAGTTTCAAATCGCCTGCCGCTCAATACCGAATGGTTGATGGAGAAGAGAGGAACAGCCACCTCAAGAGCCTATTTCACGAGACGTCATACAATGCCATTACACAATATAATACGATACAAATACTCCGAGTCTATATATGTTGTAACAGAGTCCAGTCTAACTCATGAAACATGCGGCAACGATGAATATAGGTATATGGACAAGAGCATGGGGGGAGATTACGTCTTCCTCTTCTTGTATTGCCGTTTTGCTGGGGCGGCAGCAGGAGTCGTGCTAGCAGGAGTCGCTGAACGCGAAGGCTTGTCTAACTTCTCGGATTTCTCCACGGCGTCGATGCCTCGCTTCTACACATCGGGGAGCAATACACAATCAATTATCTACAGCAATGTAATAGTGGAATACGGCGGACGCACCTTGCCCTTCGTACCCTTCGTCTTGACCTCTTCGGCTTGTTTGACCTCGGCCTCTTTCTCAATCATGCCCAGTAAAGTATTACATCTTCGCTGTAATTCTTGGGGACTGCGACTTTTAAAGAACCAGTCAAATCGGAAGACAGGAAACTCTGTGATGTCCTTCTTGATCCTCTCGTACACATCCTCTGCCCGCATGCCGTAGTGGTTGAGGCGACAGAGGAGGTAGCGATCTTCCTCTTCCGAGTACACTTTACCCTTCGTTGTCGGGTAGTTGAGTTCCAGCTCCTGCATCGGATACCGCACAGACGCGATCTTCTTTGAGAGCAACGCTTCAAGGTTTGACCGCTTGTTACGTTTAGCCTCGCCCTCTTCGATGCGAGCCTTTATACGTGGATATTCTATGAGTTAATCATAAGCTAAGATCATCGAGGATTCACGCCTAAGGACATACCGGCGAGTTCTTTCCATTTCTTTCTAAACACTGGATAATAATCAGCAACATCATCTGCGTTCTTATCCTGGATCTCGGATGCAAGCAGCTCGTAGTCATCGGTCCTACCAACATGATTAGGTCAAGCACTGCACGGAAACAAGAGCGTCAAGACCTACCAGCCATACGTCTCCAGAGCGCGAACGAATTGTTGGAAATCTCGTCTGCTCCATGTCTCAAAGCCTTGAGCGATCAATTCTTCCTTGTCTTGGAGTTGCTCCTCAGTTAACGGTTCGGCTGTAATCACACTTAGCGAATCGGCCAAGCGTCCACAACATAAAAACTCGCTGACCGTTGTCTATATACTCCTGAGCGGCTTGTCGCTCAGCTTCGAGCTTCTCTGGCGTGTCCTCCGGACCCGCAGACTCACGCAGTGTAGCAGGAATATCATTTTGCCTCTGAAGACCCATATCAAAAAAAAATAAGTAAGAGTATAACTGTGAGTCGCAAAGAACACACTTTGTGTGCGGCAAGCTCTTGCTCCTGCAGCTCTGCCAGTCTAGCTGGGAAAAATTGGAAGTCCTGTCTAACAAGAAAGATGAGGGTCACCAGTCACCGACGGATGGATGGTACTTACAACTGGATCTGCTTGGGCGCACGCGGCACTTTGGGTGCCTTCTCTGTCTTCGAGGGCCCAGCACGCATGGTCTCTTTGAAGTAGCTGTCGACGGAATAGTTCAGCTTCCTCTCACGTTTTGATAGAGCCAACGGATTGAGCTGCAGAGGCTTTCGTTGCTACGCACAATATTCAAATGAGCATGGATGGTTCGCATTGATCCCAAACCAGGTTACATACGCCAGTACGAAAGTCCTCGCCCTCCCACTGCTGGACGGAGGCCTCAGATTTAAAGTTGCTGAGGTCTTCGAAGGTGAGACCTTCATACTTGCTGTTCAACTCCACTGTCCGTACTTCGCCACGCTGGATGATTGCTTCGATGTCATCGTTGATCATGAGGCTGATAAATATGCGCATCAGTGTCCAATCACACTCAGAAATCTATGACTTACTCTGCATTGGAGTTTACAATATTCTCAGCACCATGAGCAATCATTTCCAGCAATTCTTCCTTATTTGCGGCTAAAAAGCTCCATTCAGTCACATTCAGGGTAGCCACGGCTAGCTCCCAAACCTTTGGTGTTCTGTGTTCGGCCCTGCTGAATAACAAGTTGATCGAGGCGTAGCTTCTGGGCAGCCCGCTCCAACATGCGTTCCTCCACACTGCCCTCTGTAATGAATCTGAACACATAGACTTGCTTTGTCTGACCAATACGATGTGCACGATCCATTGCCTGCAAATCGGCTTGAGGATTCCTAAATGTGAATATGAGCTACCCGGCGTGAATATATTCAATTTAATATTGCTTACCAATCACTATCGTAGAGGACGACGATGTCTGCCGTGGTCAGATTGATACCCAATCCACCAGCACGGGTGGTAAGCAGGAAAATGAATTTCTCGCTATCTGGCTTGTTGTATTCGTCGATTGCGACAATTCGGTCGTCATGAGCGGTTCCACCGTCGATACGACAGTATTCTGCTTGTTGGTCAGCGCAATCTCCATGTCAACCAGTCAACATAAAGCTCACTGTAGCCTCGAAATAGACAATAATCTTCCAGAATGTCGAGCATGCGGCTCATTTGACTGAAAATGAGGACACGGGAGCCCTTGGCTTTCATTGATTGGAGAAGCTTGTCGAGAATGACCATCTTTCCCGAGTTTTCAACCAAATGTTCATCTGTAGTATATGGAGGACCCGGTTCCTTCATCGCTAGCAATCAGTCGACTGTGACTTAGGCTATCAATAAATGACTCACCGCGCCATCGAAAAGGTAAGGATGACAAGTAACCTTTCGCAGCTACAGTACGGATGACATTAGCTGTGCCCAGACCATGCGTAAATCACAACTTACTTGCATAACCATGTTCATCAAGCGTGTCTTGCCTTCTTTCTTACCGGTCAAGCCTGGAGCATTTTATTTAAGAAGTCCCTTAATAATGTGAGAGTGAGCATACCATTGACAGCATCTATGTCCTTCTCTAGAACTGAGCGGTACCATTTGCGTTGCATTTCAGTGAGACCGACATATATGTTAATCTCTTTCTCTAGATGCGATCGCGTGAGTAATGTCCTGGACATGAAACCTCAATACACACTGGGCAATAGATTCTTCTCGACATCGCTCTTCACGCGTCTAAGCAAGAAGGGCCGCAGAATCTTATGCAATGCTTCTACCACTTTCTTGCTCTTCTCATCGTCTCCTTCTCCTTCTGCTTCATCCTTGTGCAGGAAGCTATCTAAGTCGGCGTAATCGGAGAAGATTTCTGGGCAAATAAAGTTAAGCAACGCGAACAGCTCTTTCATGTTGTTCTGCAGTGGCGTTCCAGTGATGAGCAAACGTCCTCGAGACATGAAGGAGCGAACGATCTGGGAGAGAATGGAATCCACATTTTTGATTCGGTGTGCTTCGTCTATGGCAATGTATTCGAATGAAAATTTCTTGAGAGCAGACTTCTCAATGAGACAAATCTCATATGAAGTGATGAGGACGTCGAAGTCTTGAGGAATGAGTCGGTTTGCAATCAGTGCTCCACGTTCCTCTTTGGTACCTGTGAGCAAGACGGTGTTCACGTCAGGCGTCCACCTCTCAAATTCCCGCGCCCAATTTTGCAGAGTTGATTTCGGAACAACGATGAGATGAGGTCCAGAAATACTTCGATAGTGCTTGAGATAGGAGAGGAAGGCTATCGTCTGCAAAGTTTTTCCTAGCCCCATCTCGTCGGCCAATATTCCATTCAAGCCGTTATGGTGTAGTGATACCATCCAGTTGAGACCTTGGAGCTGATATGATCGCATCGTCCCATTTACAACTGTCAAAAACATGTTAATTCGTGGTGAAAGACGAAAGATATGTAGACTCACAGCTAGGAGACTCCTCGAACACAAACGGTTGATCGTTACCGTCTACAGCCATCTCACCGTCCTTCAACATTTCTTCATCCTCCTCCTTCTCTGATTTCCGGTGTCGGGCGCTGTTATCACTGACGCAGAACGTCATCACAGAATCAGGTAATCAATCACAAACGACGCACACTGCCTTCTTACGACCCCGTCCCTTTGGCTTCGGCTGAGCATCCAGCATTGCGGCATACTCGGGATCGCGCGCTTTCTGTAGTCAAACATTAGCCACAGCCCTTCATCTTCTTAGTAAACGTATTCAAACCTTGATATCAACAAAGTGTTTGAAGAGTTCCGTTTGTCCAAGCAGATATGAATACCGTTTAACAGCATCCGTGACCTGCACTGTGTGGGTGAGCATTGAACCGCCTACAGCACTACAATACTCGCCTTCGCCTTATCCATCTCCTGTCTTTTTACTTGTAGCTTTCCTTCCTCCGCTTTTCGCTTCTGCTTCTTCTGTGCCCGGTCCGCGCTGGCCTGTATTTGTGCTAGCTTTTGTGGTGAAGCAGCGCTGCTTCTCTCTCCCTGAGGAAGCGCGTAAATATTGAGCGTATCTAGCGCGCCCTAACTACTCACCTTATTATCATCTTCTTCCTCGCTCTGCAGTTCATCCTGCTCACTAAGAATTTCGTCCGCGTACTCGCTCTCCACGCCCTCGCTTTGTTGACGCGAGACTATATTGCTAGGAACTACATCACTGAGGACGTCTTCCTCCATGGGAACGTCGACACTCTGTGCTTCAATGTCAAGCAGAAAAATACTGGTAGCAGATTGAATATACGCACGCTCATGTTGCTGAACACGCAAGGTAGAGAGAGCAAGGTTGCAGTGGCCGACGCGAGCGCGACGCGCCACCGGTTAGACTTCCAAATCGGGTTGCCAAAATTTCTTAGACAGCCTTATAGGATACTTACACTACCAATATATTTATTAGTAAATATATTTTCACCTTTCTCACTGGCAGATAAGCTTAAAGCTGTGGCTCAGCTCAAGCCGGCCCTCGAGCTGTTCGCCGACGTGGCTAAGAGCTGTATTATCGGCGACGCTGGACGCTAAATCCTGTGACATCGAATGCTGTACTCATCAGACTATATATGCTCGATCTGGACGATGTTTTATGTGCCCGGCATCATTCCATGGTCAGTCTATTGTCCTCTGTTCACTGGCGGCTCGTCGTTTCGTCATCATATTGTCCTCCCATCATGTCCTGTGAACCAACTGCCAAGGGGACGCGTGTTGGCACCATCGCTACGCATGTTGCACCAGAAAACAGCCCGTTGTATCCTGTAGTCTATTACTAGAGTCATTTTACCCCTTCCTGGACAAATCCTATGATGGGAAGGACATAGTCTGTATGTCCGTCTCTGGTTGCTATCTTCGTTCACTGCCTTGACTCCGTTCCAGGAAAACGCTCACTATTGTTCAAGCACTGCCAGTTTGCCTGATCGGGGTGTGTTCCTCAAGGTGGCGGACTCAATATGATACGATCTACATTGTGCAAAGCCCTATAACAGAAGGGTGTAGGTGTGCATGATGTGTGTCAGTGACACTCCCGCTGCCCAACTCCACAAACCGGATCTCTCTATGCTGGCTTATTACCAACGGTATAATGATGTTGACGACGACGACGACTATGAGTGCAATAACGCCAATGACGACGATTACATGAGCGATTGGTACGAACCCCACCAGACCGAGACCCCGCCACCGACACCACCCAAGGTTTCAAGCGATATGCGACGGATTGTTTTTCCGTCTCCCTCGCCCGATGTTGTGTGGGGATATCTCTCTCCCAAGAATCCAAAGTGTCCTTACAGAAGTTGGTATCTAATCGGTCCTAAGAATACGTACAAACTCGGTGCGTCCCACTATATGGATTTTTGCGTTACGGGGTCGTCTATCGGTAAGCCCCCTTCAACCCTCCGACTATCACCTATACTTAATCTTTTTTTTAACGTTGCGTCCAGATGCTGCCCACCATTGCACTATCTTTTGGGATGGGACCAACAGCGAATATGCAGTTCATGTAGTCGATTATACAGAAGAAGTGATTGGTGGAAATTGGGGTGGCACTTTTGTATGTACTTTCGCTGCTTCTCGCGAATTGCCAATTCACACCATACCTCTGCCGTTAGATCAACGACGTAAGGCTATTGCCCAGAATCCCTTCTCTATTGCGTCCCGGAGACTCCATTCAGTTCATTGGTGAAGACCCCATGGGAACAAATGAGGATTTGCGTTAGTCCGGTTGTGCATCAGTTTCTCCATTCACCGCTCACTGAGCAATATCCTGGCAGAGTTCACATGGTGCTTTTTCCGTACATGACTGTTGGCACCACCTTCGCACGGTTCTTAATATTCTTATTCAATCCGAGTGAATGACTATACGAGACATGTCGTATTTATCGCAAGTGTATACACGGGGTCTTCGAGTGTAGCATCCCTAGTGCGTTATTTTCGATGTATGTACACTGTACCGATATGGCGTAGAAGTTTCATATCAGCTTCGCCGCACAACTACTGACCAGAGACTATGGTGTGTTTGAGAAAATCGCGCGATGTAGTAAGTGTAGTTACTCATCAGATTCCAGTACTTACAGTATATAGTTTCTTCTCTTTCTTTCATAGAGCCGATGCCATCCCTCCCAGACTGGACTCGGCTTTGGCAGAAAACAGGTTGATCCAACTCAAAATCGACTCTGCACTCTGCTCCTTCGCCCACTCTGTACAATGGGTAAGTACTTAGTGCCATTCCATAATCCATTGATAGCAGTAATGGACTTACTCGCGACTGGGTCATTGACGTTTCCTCGTAGTGCAAAACCGTGGCTAACATCAGAGAAGACTTGAATATGGTACGTTGCTTTCTTCTCGATCAAAATATCTTCTGCTCTGCGGCGGAACTCTAACGGGAACGTATGGTCCACCTCTGCACGGACCATCGTATTAGCATTTTCATGAGCATGATAAGTCGCATAATTTTGGACGCGCCTGCACAGGAGAGTAGGAGCGGTTCTATCATTAGGTGAGTACAATTGTTCTTTCGGCTGTCTCACAAATAATTAACTCACGTTTAATATTGCGGAAGTGATTGTCATTGAGTACGGCCGGATGACCGAATGCCCCTGCTCTACTGGTCAGATTTCTGCCGAAGACGTGGTGGAATTAGCTCACCGCATACTATCCAATCCTGCGCCAGACAATCCATGACGAACGGAGCTCCGAAACAATATCCTTCCCATTCACGTGAGCGTCGCGTTCCTTGCACCCTGCCGATAAGCTCCAACTTACCTACGGTCGCCCATTTTGTCTGCGGTGATCCTAGTCACGACCATCCCGTCAGACTACGTCCGAGAACTGGCGATGCCTGCAATCAAACAACAATCTCACCAAATTGCGCTCGGGCGGCGTCGATCCACACCGGGGCGAGCTGCTTTGCGCGTACCATCTTTCCAGGGAGGAAATCGAACTCAATATTATAATCCTTCCCCACCCGCGATAGGTGGTTCTGGACGGGGTCGCCCTCAAAGTAATCGATGGCCAACACGAGATACCCTGCGCACCGTTACGATTGTGTGCAAAATCATTTTCGTTTGCATTTGTGTATTCAATTTCGATGAAATGAAATATCCCAAGTACCCAAATGAGCACGATCAGCAACGAGGAAGTCATTGCTGTCAGACTCCGGCCGACGCACCGTTCGAGGCCCAATAGTCCATGATCAGCTGCGAGTTGAGAAAGAACGGACCGTACACGTCTGGGAAGACGAGCACGACCCTATTATTCGCGCTCCCCTGCGGCGGGCGCGACACGTACGTATCCACACCGCCGATCTTCTCGATCGTCCCGCGAGCCGTCCCAGTGTGTTCCACTGCCTTGATGCAGCAGTCTCCGGGGGAGGAGGCTATCGTAGCCATGATGGTCTTGAGATCAATTCTTGAATTGAGGGTTGCAAGAGGAAAACGAGCAATATCGGATGTTATCGCGAGTAGGGAGATTTGTGGAGTAGAGTCAGACCCTTGTGCAGCCGCTACTATAAAGCGATAGGGATGCCCACACGCTCATGCTATACCCTATTTCCATAATTCATTCTGCTTCTTTTACTCATCAGTTTTAGTTTGTGCCTCTGTCAGCAACGGCCCTTTTATCAGTAAGACGATCGGAGTCGCGGTTCTCGTGGACACCGTAGGAACCCCGTCTCAAGCGAAAGAGGGCGAGAAAATATGCGAGCAGCATTTGAACAGCAAGCAGACAAACACCATCCCGCTTGCATGTATACTTTATTGACGGGACGCGTTCATTGAGGTACCCAGGGCGAGTCAGCTGTAGTGCAGGAAGTACATAAATGAATGACCCCGATTAACTATACTATTACACTCAACAGTACAAGTCAAGTATGTGACAATTAGTTATAACACATTATCGATAAGACGAGGGGGTCGCATGCGAAACCAAAGAATTAAAAGGGATAGGAAGGAACAACGAAGGAGTCACGGAGCCCGGAAGGCCATTGTTAATACATATATATAGATCAAGTATGCGTCATACACATAACAGCGTTGACTTCGAAAAGTAGAAATGAAAGTCAGAGAAATAAGCAACAAAGATGAGGGCTAGAGATTATCAAATGATCTAGCTCATACATAATCAAGACCGCAGGAGGAAATTTGTGAGCTACTGGCCAAACGTGCCAGTCTTCTGCGCGACAACGCGCCCAGCCTCTGTGGACATGAATCTGTAGAATCGAAAACCAGTGAGCAACCTCAATACAGACAGGAAAACACAACAAAAAACACGCACCGGAGCGAGCCGACATTGCCAAATGTATCGACCCCGTCATCCGTGTGATTCGCGAACAGATTTGCGAGGTGGCCATGCCGCTCGTCGCCAGCCCGGGAGACCCGCCCGGTGTACGATGGCTCCTGGTGCTGATACGGCCGCGGTGGTGCGCTCGATGCGCTCTCCCGGTTCGCGTACGATCCTGTGAGATTGAACGAGACACCACCCGTGGGCTGCTCGCGCAATGTCGGCGGCGCCGACTGCGATGGTGCGAATGGGTTGTTCGACCTGAGAGTCGTGAGCCAAAAATCAATATCGCTACGTACACACATGTAAAATAACTTACCCAATACGAACCGAAGTTGGCTGGGGCATGATAGGCTGTCGCTGTGTGAGCTGGGCCCGCAATATCTGTTGTTGCAATAGCCACTGCTCTTCCTGTTGGGCTTGCTGCAAGTGTGCCTGCTGGAGCGCCTGCTGCTGGAGTTCCCATTCTGCCTGCTGTTGCATGTACTGTGCCTGCATCATCTCCTGCGTTACCTGTTGCGGGTAAGGGTCGAAAGTCGTGTATTGCACTTGCATCGGCACAGCAGTATACTGTGGCTGGAGGCCTGTCATGGCATACTGCAGGGGGAGCGTAGCATCAACAAGAGGGTGCCCTGTTGACTGAGATGTTGCTGGTCTATAGCACCGCGAAATGAGGCACTGCGTAAAGCCTCTAGCTTTAAACTTACGACTGTCCTTGCTCATCAAACAAAATCAAATCGGCCTGCTCGAGTGCTCTTCGTCTTTTTTCCTCTTCCTGTTTGTTCAACTCCATCGCCCGTTGCACATCCTGTTCCTCAGCGGTCGCCCGCTTACGCTCAGCGTCTCGCTTGCTCTCCTCCAGGGCGCGACGGGCATTCTCATCATCCCGACTGTCGCGCAGACGATCTGACTGCAAACGACTCCGCCGCACAGCGTTCCCGTCATCGTCTTCGTCAGTGATGTCGGAATCAAGCGAGCGGCGTCCGCCGCGCCCCATGCGGTGGTACATCTGCGAGCGCGAGCGCCGCTCATGTCGTAGTCGGACATCATCCTGAAGGAGGTTAACGATGTCTTTCGCCTTCGATCGTACGTTCGCGCCTTGATCTCGACCGTCGTCGTCGATGTGTTGGAATTCGCGTAGTGTCTTGATGATATACATATTTTCCCTGAAGTAGCGGATCACGTTTTCTGACCCGACATGGATAATATAATCCACAAGCGTTAACGACTATGGTCATAGTGAGCTGAGATTGCATCAAGTGAACGATAGCGGCTTCGACGGCTACAGACCGGCCCGGAACGTATGTATAGAGTTCATAAAACTCTCTGCCTTCGTGACATAAGAAATCGGCGCATATAGTCTGCCTACGTCTGCTTGGAACGCGCGTAGGCAAATAATTATGATGCCACCGTTTCTGTATTGCCGTGGAGACCGCAGAGCTGCGAATATGAGAAACTCGGGAAGGCAAGAACTGACCCACATGCTGCCGCAAAAAAGGCAGCCAAACAAGTCGGGATAGAGGCCGAATTTGCCACCCAAGTTTATGTGATGACGTCCTCTGCAGCCAAACCACACGCTGTGAGATGGTCCGCACCTTAAATACGTGTCGCCAGTACTTCCCCTTGTCGTTGAGCCGTTTGTCGAGCACCTCCATGATCTCAACAAAGTCAACCCTAAAAGATGAAAGGTGGTGTAAGCCTAAACCGTGTTGATTGACGAAGCACACACGGATTATATGTCAACAACGAAATTTCGTGCATCTGCCTTCCAGATGGGGGCCAAGGATCATTTGAGGTTGCATCTCGAACTTTATTTTGGGTATGGGAGTAGCCCTTTGTATAATTCTTCGCGACACGAAGGGCGCCTTTGCTGAAAGATGAGATGGAGGACATGGTGCGAGGGGAGAGAGCGAAAGAGCGAGAACGGGGTGAGACGGGTGCTCACATAAACGCAAGAGGAGAGCCGAGGTCCTGCTGCGCTTCGACATTTACGGCTCGGAAGCGTTCACAAAACAAGCTCCATGTCATCCCGCTCCCGGCGCTAAACACCTTCGAGCCCCTCGGTCCAGCGCTCGCACATGCCGACCCGTGCCGCGGCGTTTCCCGCCCTCCCCACGCCAGAGTCATGCCACCTGCTGGCTTTTTTGGCTCCGACTCTGCCCTGGCACTACAACACCGACGGTGTACTGAACGGATTCTAGTGTTTGTTGGTCGCTCTGTAATTCATGTTTATTTGCTTGACTTTCAGACTTTTACATTGCTTACTCCGGTCCTGTTCAACTCACCTCTTCCGGGTTCTGAGAATCCGACGCCGTTACACACGAGGCTTGTCATCATATACACCTTACTTCCAGCCGGCTTGACCGATCGATACGCGTCTGGCCGCTGTCTAGTCCCATTTCTGTTATTTCCGAAACATGCCTGAGCTGCATCGGGGTAAGTGAAGCAACCCTGGGTCAGGGGGAGTGAACTTAGAATGAACGTGTGAGTACTGCCTCACCGCGGTAAGCCCGACAAAGCTATTGACATACTGCGAATAGTTTCACTGCGAGCATGAGAGCGAGCCGCATGACGAATCGCGAATTCGCATGAGACATATCAATTATGCTGATAGTCATCATGGCCGGAGTGACGGTGCCGGGTGCTCCTTCCGTCTGAAATGTTGAGTCTGTGCACAGTGACACAAGTGAGTGAGCTTATCAGTTCAATGATCAAACTCCAAAGATGTGTTCCAACATATAAGATGGACCTGACACATCCGCAAAGCCTGATTGTTGAGACGGAATGTTAGCGTCCGAACCCTGGGCTAACAGTTAGAAACTAGAATGCAGTGGATTGAAATAAAGCACTCCGCAGTATCAACATAGGCTCTTCAACGACACTGGCAGTAGAAAGAGAAAGCATCCCTTTCTACTGACAGGGTCCAAAACATGAGACGTACCTCCAACTAGTATGGCAGCATAGATATCTGTCCTGGTCTAAAATCGAGGGCAAAACTTGATACTGGACGATCCGTTAGGATGAAGTTAACCAGTAGTCGCCACGAGATTGACCTTCTTACAAACGCTGTCCCTGTGGCCGAGTGAAAATTAAATGCCCATACAACTCTGACCCCCTCAATCTGCCAAGACAGAGCTTGAGCTTCACACGTGAATAGTTTCTGACCTTCAAGATATTACAGTAACAGGCATAGACTGTATTTGGAAAATGAGAACCACAATCAATAAATTACCATCCGTCTCCACAAAATCAGGTATTGGCGAGAGAAATCATCGATCGCTTCGTTCAAAACATCCCGTCGCGCTTCGGGACAGCCACAGGTGGTGGTCGGTGTCCTGCGGCACTACCAGGTCGGTCCCTTGACCGAGGTGGGGGCGCAGGGCTTCCTGGTCGCGGTTTCTGTCCGCGATCCAAAATGTTATTGAACGCAGATGGCGTAGCTTTTGGTATGGGCATTCGAGGTGCGGGGGACACGGTACGTTGTGCAGGGGAGCGAGGGGTGGGCGATAGAGGGGCGGTGCTCGTAGTATTCCCATTGGGAGCAGTTGTAATCGATGGCAGGGGAGGGACCGGCGGAACGGGCGATGGATGTAGCTGCGTAGGGACGGCTGGAGATCGTAAGCGCGTTGGTGTGGATGCAGGCGTGCGTAAAAGTTCTGGTTCCTTCTCCTTGTGCTGGCGGAAAGGAGGAGGACGAGCATTAACGGGACTCTTGGGCGCCTCCAGGAGAAGTTTGTCGATGAGAAAGCGAAAGTCGATCCCGTACTCCTCTAACGACTGAATACTAATGAGGAATGGGTATGTAAATATTCGATTAGTACATACCTTTTTACTTTGGAAATTTGTAATCTTGACAGCTTCTTCAATCGTCTGTTGATCCACGTCTGAACTGTAGACCTGTTTTCTGAACATCTCCGCGTAGAACTCTACCTGTTTCTTCGCCCATTCTACGAAGACTGTCACCCTGTCAGCCAGTAGAATATCAGGAGCCCACCCCTTACTTACAACTCGCGACTTCATTCTCTTTGAAGCTCGCCAAGTACCAGTCTGCGGTATGTTTGATGCCTGTGAAGCACACGATCGCCAGATCCCCGACATACATGCCGACATGTCCCTCAAACCTGACCGTCCGTACACGTCTGCGCATGAGTTCCTCACGTGAAGCGAGGAATGTGCTCCGTGCGGCGGCAGCCGCTTTCAGACGGACAAGAAGTGCAATAAGATGTGTGACGGTCGATTTGCGATTTGAAGGGCTTGTGAGGGACTGCAACAGTAGTGCAGTTAAAGACGTTCTGAGCGGGGTCAACCTTGAGGAGAGTGAAGGGATGTTGGAGGCCTCAGCTTCACCTACAAAATTGATTAAAGATATTATAGCACCGTAAAAATGAGAATCGGGTAACATTTTCACCTTTCTCAACGAGTCCTACAGCCTTGTCCCATTCGCGCAGAGCTATCGACACAGTTAACTCGTCACAGAAATCTCCAATCCATCGAGCATCACGCTCAGCCTTCTCCTTTGCACTGGGGCCCATTTCAGTCTGACCGACTATATCTGCCATCCAGACCGGAACAGGTGGAACAGGTTCCACCGTCGAGCTACGCTGAATGGCGGTGTCGAGTGAGTGCGTGCTATGATAGTTGAGGATCATCACATACATCATTTTCCCATACACTCTTGCGCCGGAGGTGTTCTCCTTCGCGCTCCTTCCGTCTTTTGGCAGAGAGCTCTTCAGCAACTTGACGAAACTGTGATAGGATATGTTTCTTGTCTCCCACTGCTTCCGTACGATACACATGCGTCTCCTTGCCGTGTCGTATCTTGAATACATTGGACATTGCTGTATAACACAGCCACTGAGATAGACTTCGAACAAAATCAACCCAAGTACGTACTAGCTGTATCCTTCGTGTCCAGAACCAACATTTCGTTTAATGGCCAACATCGCTCAGCAACTAACTTGTCGTTCTCCGCATTATTTCTCCTGCGACGTATCCGGGCCACCAACACCGCGTCGTCAAGGATAACGAATCGGACGGCATGATCAACTTTATAGGTTGCCGCATTCAGTGCGACAATGTTGTCCATTTCTGCGACGACATGCCGGCCCGGTAGCGTTGGAACATATTTGCTTGATCCCTCGATTTGAGTGTGAAGAGTTTGCATCTGATTTGCATACAGAACCCGCAAGTCAGCAATCGAAGAGCGAACGTTTCTCCTGCGTTCTAACAGTCATAGCTTAAAACATATGTAGGACTCAATGGATGACCGCGGCGCACCTGCAGCTGATGCTGATTCCTCGACGTGTAGCAATGAAGGCATTCCCTTCCACTCCGCCAGACACTCCTTAAACTCAAGCATCTCATTCTCAATCACGCCGACCTCTTTTGAGATCTGCACAAATTCTGCGTAGCTGTAGTTGCGCAAATTGAAAGGTGTCACGAAATCTATTGAATGGAATCTTACTTCCTGAAAACGTCCTGTTGCAGGTCGTGCGCTACGCCATCTTTCTGGTCGCGTAGCGACGACTGCATCGTCCTGAGCTCGGCCTCAGTAGACCTTGCCATCTTCAGCTTCAGGTCTGTCCTTTATGGCATCAATGGTGAATTAAGTCGTATGCAATTTAGTCGCACATGCATCAGAATCAAAGTTATCTTGGTCAAGCAATCTGAGCTCAGCTATTCGGGGATCCTCCCTTGGTGTTTCTACTTCCTGCGCCTGGTCAATATGATTTTCGTACGGAGATTGGAGTGCATCGAGAGGAAGACTGGGAACAGCAGGACCCAAGACATTCGTAGGAGAGGAGATTTCAGCATAACGCATGGACATGCGCCGCTTCATCTTCTCGTCAACACGAGTAGCTCTGCGTCCATCCCTGCCATTGGGGCGAATGAGTTTGCTAGCTGATCGCTGAACTTTGGGAGGGGGATCTGATGGTTTGCGAGAGCGCAGCGACTGCATAGCTATGAAATCCTGAGAAGTCAGCTAAGAAATGGTGCAGTCAAGTACTGGTCAGAAGTACCGCTCGGTGGGCCACTTGCCCGAAATGGTAGTTTCAGGAAATTCCAACGCTAGCGCTCATGCTGCAGCTGCCTGCAGTGGGCATTGAAGATACCTCTCATTTTACATTCTATGGTATATACATGAGAATTATTCAGTGTTTTGTGAAAACGCTCTGATCCATCATCTCAGCACCAGGACACAATGAGTTCAAATGAGCAAGATCAGCTAAATAAGGATCTCTGCGGCATCGTTTGCCAACTGCAGCCTGCCTCAGATATTCACAACACCCCATAATAATATGCATCTTATGCGAAGATGGGAAACTTGCTGACGGGGTCAACTCATATCATAAAAATGTATGTGGCACTCGGGAGGCCGGGTTCGAGGCGCTCTTTCACTTCTGGGTGATCAATAGTATGTGGCTCGTCTAGTAATAATCCTCATCTTCAAGTTGAACCTCGACCCTCAATGCCCTACGTTCGACTTCCTCGGGTGCGATCAAGTCAGTAGATTGCATATTCTTGTGGATCTACGCATACTAGCGGTAGTCATCTCATGAATTACGAACTTTCCGGTGATTATCAAGTCGATTGGTTGATATAATGAGCCTGACATTGAAGAACAGTTGCCTTTCGCCCCGATATGTGCCCGAGATGTAACTGCGATCATGTAGACGCCACTCTTCCGGCGAGTTGGAGTCCTGCTGCCTGCATGAGATCCGATACCTCAACATCTATTGGCAGGGTTCGATCATGAAACATCAAACAAGCAACGGCAACAGTGGACAAACTGAGCACTCACGATCCTCCGTGTGTTGCATACGAGACACAAACGTGCAAGCATTTCCTGGTGGGCCACGAAGGTTAAGTTAAGCACAAGTAGCAGTGTAAACGGGCGATGATACCTGGACCGAGGATAAAATCCCCGCCAAGCTGAGATATTTTTCCTTGCTTTCCGATGTTGTGTGGGTTCTTCAACGCGCCCTGACATTAATGGGCCTCGATTAGGCACGAGCCATATCTTAAACGGCTACAACTCACCCAGATGCTCTTTGTGACGCTTCCGAGGAAGCTTCTTCCTGCAAGGTAGCTTCGTTTCTCTTGTCCGGTAGGAGTTCGATCGAGCGACTCTATAAGTCCAAAATGTTGATACAGTGCGCGCGAAGGGTCGGCATACATCTCTCCGGAGAAGCCTGTTGTCTCTGAGAAACTCATGAAAATCGTCACATTTCCCTGAGATGCTCGCATATGCTCCGTGATGGGTGGAATGCAACAATTCGAGATATTTCATCGATATTCATGAAAATGATATCTCCATTGTACCAAAACTCACCGCAGTAGCTCTTGATCAATTGCCAATCACCGCATCCGATTATAACCATGCGCACGCCAGCTTGATCAAGAGCATCCTGGGGGACTGTAGCCAGCTGCATAACATATTGCTAAGGCATGAAAAATGAGTCTGAAGAGTGTGATTCATGAGCGACTCGGAGCTGACCTGACAACTCTAGATGGGTAAGGCGCGACACAGAATTGATAGGCAGTGCGAGAACATATTGTGAGTGTATGTATTAATTGATGCAAGAACTATTAGACTCACACCGCAAAAAAAGTGACCTGCATACACAAGCAACGTAGTTGTTAGCCAGCCCTATTGGCAAGTTCTTTTATGTACGAGATAAGATGATACGAAACGAATGAAGACAACGATTGTCCTCTGATCGCGATGAATGGTGCCAAATTGAATGGTGTTCCCGCCGATATCGTATACAGGTAGTTCAGCCGCTTTAGCAATGCTCTCGGAATCGATAGTAGGGCGCGTCATAGTTTCAGATCAACTCGAATGGTAGCGCTAGCAAACGTCCGCGTCGATTGAATATTCTAAATAAATGCTTGAAGAGCGTGCGGCACGTGAGCAGGATTATTTACGCGTTGTTATAGTTTGTTGATTTCAGAGGCTGCAGCCAAACAACGCGATCGGAATAAACAAACACGCACATCCCTCACGTTCGCCTGCCCTTGTCTCGCTCTGAGTAGTCCTGTTTGGTATATGTACTCCTTTCCAATCCTCTTTTACACCTATCAACACCATGCGGCGAGCGCAGACAGTGAGACACTATGGCCGCCCTTCCATCGCTCTTGGCGCAGACGATCTCGGGATGCTGAAAGAAACTCCAGAAGAATCCGCTGAGGATGTGCTGCGACGACAACTGATTGAGAAAGATAGAGAATGCGATAGAGTGCGCCGCATACTTTAGTGTTCACGGCTACTAACTCATGCGGTCTGACTTGTGGCGACATATTGCAGTTGCAGACACAAATCCAAGCATTACAGGCCCAACTCGCACAGCGACCACCGCTGGAGGCAGTGCAAGCTCTAGAGAAGGAATATACAAATCTAGACATTCTCTTACAGGGAACCCAGAGAGAGAACGAGCGTTGTATGGCAGAGTTGGACAGGTAAGCCGTATTTCACTATACCAAGCTGATAGCGCGCACTCACACGACCTAGGGGGAAGACACGGGAAAAGATGCTTGAACGTGAGCTCGAGAGATTGGCTGGGGCTAATTGGCAAGCCAACCTGAACATCACCCCAACGTCGGCTCCGGCTATTGCAAACCGCGGGACAGGCATCTTGAACCCGCACAAATCGAACCCTACGCCGCCACCCCTAGATGCTGCTAGTGGTGGATTGCATTCGATTGATCACCCACACCAGGCCAATGGCGGCCCCAGTGCTTCATTGGCTCAAGTTGAGCAGGTCCGTCTGCTGATTCTCGGCATGGAGCAGCGCCTGCAATCACGAGAGGAGAAGTTGCTCAAGACTATCGAACGTGCGGAGACCGAGTCCGCGCGATTCGAAGAGAAGAGGAAACAGGTGTCATCGGCAACGTGTTAACCCATGCATTCATCTTATCCCACTTGCATTCTTTATTATAATTCGGCCGGAACATATCACAAGCTTGTACAGGTCTGATACCCATGTTGTGTTATGTGTACCATTAGTCTATTCACAATGTTGTGATAATTATTATAACGGTGGAACAGGACCCAAACGCACCATTCGCTACTCCGACGAGGAATCAAGCGGAGCAGCATGTGGCTGTGGGCGTTCAGCGGGTACCTTTTATGAACGGCTGGTCGTAGCTTCCGAGTCGGTGCACCTCAGTCGTATGCCAGCGCTTCAAAAATTTAGGCCAACTACTATCATATTGAAAGATAGCATATAATGAACAAAGTAAGGTTGAATTTACCAATCATAAATGTCGGCCATTGCGCGGAACGCACCGTCATGACTTGCGTGATATGAGTGCCATCCCGGGCTTCTCAGTCTCCTGCATGCCCTTCAGACAGCAGCTACTAACAGCTCGAGTACCGATGGCCGAAACTCGAAGGCTTTGTTGAGGATATGGTTTGATATAGAATATGAGAAGAGCTGGGAAAGAACTGTCGAAAACATCCGGCGTAAATGATATCGAATGACTCTGGGTGACTCACGGTTTACTTCGCAACCCTGAGAACAGCTCTGGAAACTGTCAGATGACCACGGCAGCATCAAGAACAAACGAGATGAGAAGATGACCTCATCATACCTTGGCATGGGCAGTGAATGACATGGCAAGTTGGACAGGTTAGGGGACAGCACGAGTTACTGGAGTCTGATGCCGTTCGTACTCTTCTCCGGACTATACAGTCGGGCAAGGCGCCTCGCCGTCCACTCAGGCGGAGCATGATCGGTCGCCGGAACCCAGGGTCAACGGATCATTAACTAGTAGGGAATACTCTGTCCATTGCATGGGCCCGTCCGGATGCGGCAGAATTACGTGGTGAATGTTCTCGGGGATGCAGACAAGAGTTTTCTCGTACCAGTAAGTTCAGCTGTTGTCGTTGAAATTATACGCACCGCGTACCTGCCAATAACTGCATGATTACGATCTCATCAAGTGCCATCTTGCGATGGTGCTAGCTGGAGGGCTAATTTGGAAGTTTCACAAGTCAACTGCCACGTTTGCTCTCGCTGAGGCTGATACCGCGGCTGCGCTTGATACGTGTTCAAAATAAATAGCATGTAGCACTGAGACGTCACAAATAGTAACGCATAATAGCCTGTGCGTGAAAACACACATGAGAACCTGAATTTGCTACTTCAGAGGCTTTACATGGCGGATCGGGATGTCGGGCATAAGTATTGGGAAATGTTTGGATAGATTTTGCACCTCTTATTGTCCAGTCTGTGGTCTAAATTTGAGGGCCAGGCCCATAGCTCAGTCTTGTTCTCAGCGCCGACGGCTGAAATTGAGACCGACCACATCGAAATACTGCAGAAGATCATTGAGGAGACTTCGAATGAATTCATGGGAGGGGAGCGCTCCAAACAACGCAGGAATGAGTTAGGATCAAATCAAAGAAGCACAATAGTACGTACGCTCTATTCCAAATTTGTAGTTCTCCGAAGTCTTCTAAGGCCACGGAACAAGGGTGGCAGTGGTCCGACAGTGGCTCCAAATCATCACGAAACGGTTATGCATGGAACTTCAGAGATTCAGGACAGCGGGTACGAGCTACCACTGGAAATATTTGGGTCTAGATCCCTCATCGGCGGAGGACGTGCGGGGCAAGAACGTAGAGATGCGATGACTTGTCTGTAATCGGAATGAACGCTGAAGACGGACCAATTATAACCAAGCCATTGTCTCCGGGGTGCACAAGGCGGAGGTATATCTAGAAACTAGAGGGGATACGACGCATCATTCAGGCAGAAAGCGGAAGGAATGAGCGGTGAACAACTCATTCCGATCAAAAATATTGTGCTCGTTGAAACGGATGCTGGGCTTCACACAAAGACCCCGACCAGGCTGTGTCATTAGGCAGATTGGAACACGGTCCACAATCTATAACCAATGGATGCCCAGGCTGGGGTTGACAAGGTTAGCGAACCGCTTGTCTAAACGCAGACTAGCTTCGGGTCCACTTTCCACATGCCGTGCGAAGTCTCCGCCGGGGACGAAGTGAGGAACCATACCACGAGCCCGCAGAACCTTCACATGCTCGTTGAAGAAGAGTGGCCGCTGTGCACGAGAAGGACGATCGCAGCACGTCAATTGACCCCGCAACACGGAACCGTGAATTGTCGAATGGGCCCCCACAAGCAGGCGGCCACTGGCGAGAGAGGGAGCGATGCCGGGACTCGGCCGTAAGATTGAACGAAAGTCAGCATATGTGCCGTGTGAATGCGATATGTTGTTGAACGGGAACCGAGAACCAAGTCGCTGGCAGTTCTTCCGCGGCCCGCGTCAGACCTCTGATTGAGTAAAGGTCTGGACCGATCACTGGAGTGTATAGACGCATGGCGTACGGCAGGCGACAAAATGCGAAGCGTGGCCTCGAGCGCACAAATCATACCTATAAAAATAACGTGAGACGACCGTAAATGTAGGATGTTAAAGGCGAGAGGAATAAAAGATAAGAATGAGGAATATACCCTACGCGTCAACTAGATGCATTCTTCTTCGATGTATGTGCGGCTTTATACTTCAACTGATAGTGCGGAAAGAAGGTATTACGCAATCGAATGTCATAAAACGGAGCTGATAATAAATACGTACTCGTGCAGAGGAGGGGCCACAACGTAGCCCGACCTCTCCCACTTGGTGGTTGGCATACAGCATGATTAAAGTTCACGGATAGGTGCCCCGGAGCGAGGGACAGCGGAACCATGTCATTGACAGCGTTTCATGCAGCGCGGCAATGTTGGTGGGCATGACACGGCGAGGGGATGTGAAAACTGCCTGGCACAAGTTGAGATGGGGAACAAAGCTGCTCACTCACGAAAGGCGCTCTGTTTGCCGACTGTCAAAGGAAGACAGCCCGCGCTTAATCCGGCGGCAGCTGGTGTGGAACCTGGACATATTCGCCATCCCGTACTCTCCATCATCATCAGAAGAACGATGCAACAATGTCCATTCTAATGGGACTCGCTCTTTGTGCATGTCAAACAAGCGCCCAAGAGCACACATACGTGCAGTTCAAGCGCCAGTACAGCCGCGGGCGTTCCGTAAACAACAAACAGCGGAGGAATGAAGTAGCAGGCGATAGGCAATCATTTAATGCAATATGAATATGAATACATACTCTATGGATCCCACCCACATGCAGCTCATTATTTTTGTCCCATTTACGCCGACGCCTAAGTAAAGATGAATGTCATCTACAACGGCGCAGCATCAGCAGAATACTCTCTCGAAAATCAAATCAAAAATTTTACATCTACTCGCACCCCACTCCCTCTACGCGAATGGAAAGGGGATATGTCCACTGAAAAGTGCGACGGAGCACAAGAACATGGGCAGCGCTCACCGGAGATGAAATGACATGGGTCTCTTCCACCTCCGGCTGAATGGGAGGAGGCGAGCATCGGAGCAGCGCGTGGTTTCAGCTATGGCAGCAGACCGAACACCGTGGCGTGCAGAACGGGACGGACAACATTGTCCAGGAAATTGGGGGCCAATCGGGCCTCATGAAATGAAGCCCTCTGATATAAGTATCATCGGAGCACTGTCAGATAGAACTCGTCCGACATGCGCGAATATGCGGAAAGCGAATTCGCTCATTCCCGACTCTTGGGGAATGATGCCGGCATGTAGACACTCTTCTTGACATCCATGAGAGCTGAGTCGGGTCTTCGGGATATACCAGGTGTCCTGAGAGTTCCTGCGGGGGAGAAGAATAGGAGGAAGCACTAGAAGAAGGTGCGGACACGAACACAGGGGCATCCGTGGACTGTGTTCGTCCGAACAACGAGCGCGAAGCTCCTCGCTGGCGGCCCCTTCGGCCCGGGCATAGAGCGCTTGAGAACAGACGCTCCATGCTTCTTCTTCTTTGTGCCGCAAATGACAGATGCCTACGTGGAATGTGAATTGGCAAAGATCAGCTCTCGCGGTTGAGACTCCGCACTCTCAGAGCGTGCGTTCAGTGAAAGGTGACAAGGGGACCAGTAACGCAGGCGAACAACAAAAAAAGGACATACCCGAGTCCGCGAGAGTCGATCGCATAGCTGATCGCGAAGAATAAGTGCCTGCGCGACAAGAATACTACTTTACGAGAGGAGTCTCTCGCGGGTTCCCGGAAGAAAGCAGAAGGCCGGTCCAGTGGTATGAGCGAAAGACACTCCGTTACAGATTCCGAGCAGGTTCTAAGCATCGGGAGGGGCGTAGGCCCCGGCGCTGATACCGACACGACATGTTCGTTGTTATGAGCACGACTTCCACCAAGTATTTCCGTCCTCTTTGCGTTCCCGTCCCTTAATATTCGAGAATAGACGGTTCACGAAAATACGTCGCGCAATTGAACCAGGACGACTCTAGGCCCTTTGACAGAATCACGACTGAGTCACGACTGAGTAACATATTCCAAGTTTCCGACGCCCAAACCCGGTCGAACAGGAAGGCATAGCATCAGTCGGACTGTCAAAGTGGCGAAGCGTCGCATACGACATTCTCTAGCTGATTCCCGCAGCAGCAGATATGGCGAGAAGCGAGAAGGAAGGTCTCAGTAACGAAAGAACTGACGACGAGAACGCAGCGCACCGGACGGGTTCGGTAACACCGTGCTTTCGCCGATAGGGGTTGACCAGCGGCCCGATTTGAAGGTCAGCCACCCCGCCACCCCGACACGGCGACTCGCAAGGTCCACTGGCGAAGCTGGCGACTGGCGAATGGTGACAGCGGGCATCCACTATTTTCCGCAATGCTCAAAACCAGCGGGGACGACAGCCACGCGAAACAGACGCGTGCGGCCCCCGGCCGGTATGCATGGTTCACGCAACAATGCGTCGTCAGTCACACCGCTAGGCACCAGTGCGGCGCGCTCCAATCCTCAGACGGCAGATACCTTGGGATCTTCATGTGTTGCTGTTTTCCTATCACCGTGCTGGCTGCGCCGTAGTCCGGATCTCGAGTCTAGGTTTAGCGTAAGTTCGCCGTCAAAGCTAGCCAAGTATCCGCCGCCAGAGACGGCCCGCGGCATCCATGGTGCGCATTATCGCCTTCGACACTTGGCAGAGCTCACTGGTGCGCTGTCTTGCTAGATGGAGGATGGAGGGCTATTAGACGCTGTCTCAGGTGTGTCCACCTCCAGGTCAAGCACATGGGAAGCCGGGCATGGCATCATATCATCCCGCTGCGGACGAAGAGGCAGGGGCGCCCGGGAGTCCTCGTCTCCAATCATGGTATGCACGGCTATCCCCTGTCGTTGTTCTAGCATGTCAATCCTGACTTCTCGAGCGCATATGATAAGGTAAATCTCACCGTCGGCCAGCGTAGATCGGCGCTGGACCCTGCAGCTCAGCGGAGAGGCCCAAAATGAGGCTAGTCGAAGTCAGCCGTATGGCCCGCTGGTCAGGTCTGTGTCCTCAGCGGGACAATGGGAGCGTGCAGTCCGCTGATGCCGCTCTGCTCACGCGAACAACTTGGCAGCAGAACAGTCAAGTCCCATTGCCGTGGTTCCTCCGCTGCGAGCGCCGGCTTCGAAGAATGGGAGCTGCCTATCCACGCAGCAAGCTTCGTGAGCATGGGCGAGGTAAGAGAAATCTCAATTCATGTCCCACATGGGCACTCCGCTTGTAGGCCGCCTGTTGGTGGTATCGAAGCCACTTGAACTTCCATCCTAGATCAATTCGCGGGGAACAGCATCTCCTGACCACTTTGGACGATTGGGATAGACTTTCACGCAACCAAATGCCCCCGTCCCGGAGAGACAAAGTCTGACGCAATGGGCGAGTAAGGTCGACGTCAGGAGAATTCCGCACTCAGCGGTGGCAATTACCTGGTTCTCCCGATGGGCCTGTGCGTGCGCGTTCGAATCGTGTGTGCAGGGGGCCGCACACCAAGCGCGCGTCACTGCGACGTATCAACGCGTCAGTGAGGCACCCTGCACGGGACGTGCCGGTACAAAGTCTCGCAGGGCGGCTGTGAGCGAACGACCGAACAGCGTCGACAAGAACACGACGCGCACAGGACCAGCGCCCAGATCTCTTCGCAGAGATGGGGTCATCGACGCGGGCACGGCCGGGATGTGCGGGAATCCAGATCGACGACTCCGCCGGTATGCCCCTTGCCCGCGTATGGGCAGCGATCACGTATCCCGCCGGTGTACTGTGTGCCCATGTATGGGGAGCTGCGTGGTTATGCCGCGATGCACGGCTTGCTGCTTCGAGCGCATATGGTGCAATAGGATGCAATCGTCGGGCACGCTGACGAGCGCGAGCGTTCCCCGAGGAGAAGCCTCCGCATCAGAACGAAGAGTGTGAGACCGAAAGAATTTTCTGGTAGGGGAGGCTATCTCCATTGTTTGCTTGTTTCTTGACGTTGGTACGGTGATGTAGCCGCATCTGGGACTTGAAGAATAAAGACGCTCCACACGATTTGATCTATCAATTATCAGCGCTGACGCTCGGCCTACACTCTACATCACCGAACATGCCAGCGTCACTTACGCCCGCCCCTCGCTCGCGAGGCACAGAGACATACGACTGTCTGTCTGTGTCCCTCATCTCACAAAGCAAATCATGATCGAAGAGCCCGCATGCGCGCTCCAGGCACGTTCATTAGCACAAATTAATTGCCCAGAGATAATTGAATGAACTCACGAAGCTAACCAGTGCCAAGCGCATGTGCACTAGCCCAGGATGGCTAGCCTCACCAACCACTGCAGCGCTGCAGGGCGCGGCGCGGGGTGTGTGTGCCTGCATGTTCCCTTATCCTGGTGCCGAGTGCGGGCCTCTCCGCCCATTGGGTCGCCTCGGATACAATGGATGCACAACGAGCGCAGATTAGACGCAAGGTAACGCGGCTGGGCGCCAAGAATTATCGGCGTGCGCGGGCAACGGCCGGAAGCGCGGGGAGGCGTGTTAGTGGGCACCGTTACGGCAACGCAGCGGTAGGGTATAGACTTACCTGGCCGAATTGAACACCCAGCGCGTCGTTAAAGTCGTGCGTCAGTGGACGCACGACGCCCGAGCTGCCGCCGACAGGGACGATATTGATATAGGTGCAGGCCTGGTGATGCCGGAAGCTGTGGAAGGATGGGAGCGCGAAATCATACCCAGCTGTCGTAATGGCACGAATGATGCGGCCAGAGATCCGTCGTGCCAGGCGGTAGACGGGAACCGAACATGACAGATGCGACGCACTTGCGAGCGAACCGGACCAGACTCGCCCGGAGCTGACATAATGCCTAACCAAACCGATGCGGTACTCATCACGTAATTCGGATTGACTCGAGCGCCAGGATCGCGCGCACGCGGAATGGGCTCCGCCTCCTCGCAGCGGACGTACGTGTGACGGCGATCTATCAAAAATCGGTCAGAACATGTTGCAATCTAGATGGTCATTGGAACCTTAAACCTCGCTTTACGCATGGAATTTTAGTGCATTTCGAAGTACTCCTGTTTTTTTGCGCGACCGGCGTCGGACTCTTGTGACTATATTGATTAATTCTGAGGTCCCGCGAAGAGCATGGCCTAGTAAAATTAATTAGCAGGATGTGGTCCGGAAATGAAAACCACGATGCCGTACCTGAACAGAGCTGCCTGGATTTACGCGCTCCGAAATATTTCAAACCTCAGGGTGGCGGCGCGGCGGAATTCTACCAAAGCATTCATTCCAGTCCAGTCGCGGTCGAATTTACGAGAGCGTCCAGACAAGACACTGGAAGCCATGCCTATACGAGGATGAATCGGAAAGTCCGCCGTTCGAGTTTCAATTTCGAGCAAAAAATTGGAGATGCCTCCCAAACAATCGCCGCCGAGCTAGGGTGGGCGGTGCTAGAACTTTTGTGAGCAAATATTACTCGAGAATCCATCAAGAAAGCAGCTGGAAAGAAATTAGTAAGAGAGTACAGTGTACAATTTTATCATGCGCACAAAGCTAGTGTATTGGACAGTAGTAATGTGAGGCCGGGCAGGACGAAGTATCTTGCTGCCGAACAGCTGTCTCACAGCAACGGCGCGTCCCCCTTTCTACCACCCTCTATTGACTTTTATTATCAAGATATCGTTTGAGAGCTCTCTGCATACATCTCGCAATGCTCAGGTTCGGGGCTGGATGGAGGCAGAGATGGCTCACCCGTTACCAGAAGATGGTCGACGACCCGAATTCCCGGCAGCAACATTTGCAACACTTCATGAGGGAGGTGACACGGGGCGCGGTGAGAATGAAGGCTGTATGCGTCGGGGGGGGGAGGGGAGGAGTCGAGACGCGCTGGGTCGGAGAGGGTCGTAGAGAGAGCGAAGCCGGTGAGCCGGGACAAGCAAGATGGGGCGTGTGGACGTAGAGAGACGTAAGCAGACGCGCCTCACTCGACCGCGCGCGGCCGGTGTCCGTCGGCTCTGGACCCGGTCTCTGAGCACGGAGACGAGGGCCAATTGGGGCGAGAAAGAGCGGCCTGCGAGAGGACCATGTGGGCTACATCACGTACATACGTATGGCAATTGAGACCCTGGATGCGATGGTGGCGCTGTCTGGGTTCGCGGAAGGCTCGACTTCGGGACACGATCGCAGGGGGATTGCATCGGACGCAGACGGTCGGCAGGGGGATGATGGAGGGGGGGGCGATTGCAAAGATAGGCCGGGGATGTGGACGGTGGACGGTTACGGCAGGGGAAGGGAACGGGAGATAGGCTGGCACGCAGGAGATGGGCGGTGTCGGAATAGGCAAGGAGACAGCGAGGGAACGGGGGAGGGTACCAGGGACGATGCGAAGAGCGAGGCCGGATGGCGCCCAGGGCGGACAGAGACATTGAAGGAAAGAGGAGACGAGGGAACGGAAGGGTGGTGTGGAATGCGAGCTTGAGGGTGAGAGGGTGTGTCGGGGAGTACGTACAGACATGATCGCTTAGTGGCAAGGGCGCGGTGAGAAAGCTGTGAGGGCGCAGCCGCTGGGGGACATGGGACCAGGAGGAGGAGCACGAGAGCCACGTGGGTGGGACGCAGAGCTGGTCGCAGCGGAGCGCTGTGCGGGTGGCCGACGAGCCGGGGAGAGAGCTCTGAGCTCTGGACGAGCAGGCCCCGGCGAGGCCTGGGACGGGGTTCAGTGACAGCGTGGGGACCCCGTGCGGGGCGACTCGCAAACGGCTGCGGAGATCGAATAGTGCGCCCAGTCGGCGGCGGAGGTGGGCGTGCATGGCGCGATTTCCGTCGCCGCTCGAGGACGCCGTCGGCTGCGACGCATTCTCCCGCGAAAATAAAACACAAAAAATGGCGGAATCAAAGCAAAGACCCCGCGCCCGAGAGCACGGCCAGTGGCCGATCAACGACCAGATTCAGATCGGAGTCAGATCGTGACAGGCTCGTATCTCCGTGACCGCGCCCTCGCCCCGCCCTCCTCCGCGACACCAGCTCTTCATAAACCCCCATGCTCTTCTCCTCCTGACCCCCACCTCCCTTCCTCCCTCCCCCTCCCTCCCGC